GCCCTTTCTCATGGCAATAATTGCGCTAAATGTCTTTCTTTGAAAAAGAACTATATCTTGATTTGTCACAGCTTTGATCACGACCATGAGGAGTTTTACTCCTCCCCCTTGTTTTGCTTCAGCCTCTCACAACAAATGCCTCCGAATGAAAAGAACCTGCTGATTTTTATTTATTTATTTCATTCAACAAGCTACTCGTGACTTGGCTCATTATGACAACTTCATCGTGCGCCAAATTACTAACTGTCACAACCAAAGGCTTCCAACGTTTGGGCAAAGAACTAAGTAGCATCAAAGCCTACAACTCATCATCAAAAATAATTTTTATAAAAGCAAGTTGGTTAACAAAACACTCTTAATTTCATTCAAACATTTCGGAATAGGGCTTCCCTCTTTATATTTTAAATTAACCAACTCTCGAAACAGAAAAACTTTATTTGTGGCTGATTTTATATCATAAAAACCTTCTAATTTTTTTCATAAATCATGTGTAGGAGTTTCAGTAGTAACATGACGAAACACACTATTATTAATCCATTGACAGATAACATCAACATCTTTTCGATTAAGCCTCTTCCTTTCAGTATCTTTCATACCCTCAGGTTTACCACTATCACCCTCAATGAGTCCATACAAATCTTTATAAAATAATAGGTCTTCCATTTTAGTTTTCCAAATTACCCAATTGCTTCAATTGAAGCTACTCATACGACCCATATTTTCTCATTGATTAACACAAATAAATAAATCCAAATAAATCGTAATCTCTGATACCAGTTGTTCGGAAAAATAAATGATTTCCCACAAGTAAATCAATCGATGAAAATAAAAATAATGCGAAAAAATTAAATCAACAACGACAAAAGAATTTTTACTTGGTTCCCTCAATGTGAGGTACGTCCACGGGATTGAAATATAATTCCATTTTCAACTAAGAGTTTTCAAATGTTTACAAACGAGACACAAATGGTCTTATAAACCACCCTTAGATAAATTTTAAATAATCACAAATAAATAGAGGGAAGACCTCACCAAATAAACAAACAAATTGTCTTCAAAACAGAATTGAAGGAGACATCAAATCTGAACCAAGCCGGCATCAAATCAGAAACAAACTTTGAAACTTTGCAAGTGACAACAAAGTGGAGCACCCCAGAACAAAACACACACACATCCATACCACACTAAGAACCAAATCCATTGATTTAATTTCTAAGCACGCCGCCGAAAAGATCAATCAGTTGCTACACATTTTTGGAAAAACAAAAAAATACCAAAAAATATTGTTGATTCTTGAGCTTTTTATCAAAACCCTACGTGCCACCAAACAGATTTTTAAATACCCATTAGACTTCCAAAAGTTAGATATAATATATTAAAAATATATTATAACCAATATCAAAGCAAATTAAAATTCTGTTAATAAACTAATTAGGTCCCATACTCCATTAAGGAGGTATACCTAACAATACTCAAGCACATGTGCATCCACCACCTCTTTTTCCACTATCTTATCAGTTGTCAACAATCATCAATTTAGCACTTACTAGATGTAGAGTTTTAACAATTACTAATTTTGGATAGAAATTGAAAAGGGGGAAAAAAAAATGAGAATAATTTTAATGAAATATAAGTTAAATATTTTCTAATTTTTTTATTTTTATTTTTCTTTCCCTTTCTAAATATCTACTCAAATCTATGATTTAAACACAACCTTGTGGTTTTAGGGCTCTTGTATCTGATTGGGCGTTTTCCTATTTGTATTGTCGAATCGATGTCACAACTTCAAGTTAGAGCAAAAGTTGAGTTGATTATCTTCGAGGCTATGTTTAATGTTTAGCCTAAAGTAGTGTTTGATATAACTATAAACTAAAAACTAAAAATTAAGTATTAAAAATTAAATATTGAATTTTTTAAGTTAAACGTTGTTTGATAAAAACTAAAACAAGTTATTTGATATGTATAAGATCAAATTTGAAATTTATTATTTTCAAATTGTATATTTTAGTTTTTATAGTGTAATGGTGAGTTGGTGGTGGGGGAGGCGGTGGCTGCGGCATTAGCTATGGTGTTGATGGCAATGGTGGTGCAACTAAATAGATATTGGTTGTGGTAATTGTAGAAGGTAATCTCAGTGTAATGATGGTGGTTGTTGTAGTAGTGGTTGTAGAGGTGAATGATTGTAGTAGTTGTTGTAGTAATGGTAGTAATGCTAATGATGACTGTAGTTGTGGGGTTATGGCGATAGTAAAATGATAATGGTACTTATAATAACAATGATAATGATGATGAAGATGGTGGTGGCGGTGGCATGATGGTGATAGTGGTTGTGGTGGTAGTAGTGGTAGCAGTAGTGGTGGTCGTGGTAGCGACGGTAGTGAATTTATAATAGTATATATCAACACTTATGTTTAGTATTTATAAACTCAGTCAGAATTAAGTAAGTTTTATATAACTTGATTTTTTTTAACTTTCAATTTACATTTTAAGAGACATTTAAATTTTTAAGTGATATCAAATAGATTTAATTGAGTATCACTTAATATATTCAGTTTTAAGTGCTGAATCAGATTATCAAACAAAACACCCTAACTCTAGCTCTACAAGCCAATTTAATTCATTTAATAGTTATGACATAAGGTAAATCATAATTTCATACCCGAGTAGGCAAATTTTTAGGATTTACAAAATAGATAAAGGGTAACTAGTATATTGACAAATGTGGTCTACTATATCATCAAGCGAACTCTAGCATGGATAAATTAAATTAAAGGAGGCTTCTCTCCATAATCCAATCCGTTCAAATTTTAGTACCTTTCGAGTAGATTATGCATATAAAAAATCAAATATATCGGATATCGACAACCACATATTTAGATCATATTTGTTTTTTAAAAATAATAAATCGTAATTATCTAAATATATAGTTATTGATATCCAATCAACCTGATTTTTGCTTGAAAAAGATAATAAAATTTGAATGTTTTAGATTATCGAATAGACCCAAAATAGGCATCTTAAATCACAAAACTTGGACCAAAAAAACTTATAAAGGAATCAAGGAATTAACTAAAACTACATTTAGCCGATTATACTCTCTGTCCCTAGCCGGGTGAGCGTGGAGGGACGCCTCCTCTAATTAAAATTACAAAACTCACAAAATATATTTATATTTTATTATAAATATATTTTTTTATAATTTATTATTTAATTTCTACCAACTAAACGATAATATGTATTTCTTATTAAGAAGTATTTTTTTTTAGATGGGTTCTGTGAGAGGATAAAATGAGCTACGGAAGGGTATAACTAGAAAACTGGACCCAAATTAATGAAATGATAAGTCCAAAGGACCAAGAGTCTAGAACCAGGGGTTCAGACATACAAGGGCTAGGAAAACAGGATGGAAGCGAGTGCCAGAAGGGGCAGATTGGATCAAGGTGTGTTCCTAAAGTCGTGGCCCAACCGATATGCTGTGTTTAGTAAGAGGATTTGGGGAGAGATTTGGAAAAGGAAAGGGAAAGGGAGAATGTGTGTGAAATTAGTCATATTTTATTCTCATTTCATTTACGTTTTCTATTTCTCTTTTCAAATCCCTCCTCAAATTCCCTAACCAAACACAGTATTAGATAATCGCTCCAATCTGGTACATGATCCCTACAGAAAAAAGGTTAACGCGAGGAGTAGAAGGAGGCGCAACGGCCCATAACGACTAGTGGAAGCAGAGTATAAATAGAGGTAGCATCCAGCGCTAAGGTACACACACACATCCAACACAAACCCAATCTGGACTTCTACTGAAACATTCTGCTCTTTTGTCTACTTGTTTACTAACTTAGGTAGTGAAGAGTCTCTCGACTAATCCCCAACCTCTCTTTCATTCCTTTGTGAGTGTATTTCAAGTCTAGAGGCATCAACAACCGCTGAAACGCCGTTGCATTCTGGTGGTGCGATTTTTGCCCACCACAAGTTCTTATTAAGAACTTTTTTTTTTTTTTTAAATATTTTTTTTGAGTTTATTTATTTATTTATTTTGTTTGAGTTATCGCTTTTTAAAAATTTCACAAAGTTTTAGACTTAAAAAAAATCAGAAAGGAAATTAAGTAAAAAGTGAATTTTTTCTCTCTTATTTTTAGTCCTTTGTTTTTTAAATTAAAATTTTATTTTTAGATTTGTCTACACAAGATGTATTAAAAAATTAAATTTTTTTGACATACATTTTTTTAAATATTATTAAAAATAAGAGAATAAATTATCTTCAGTTGTGAATTCAATTGTATCAAATAGTTAAGTTTTCTTACCAATCAAAATTAATAAAATGCCTTGACCCATTATTTTACCACTTGATCACAAAATCTAGGGATCTGTTTGGTATAACTTTCAAATTATAATTCCACCACTACATTCCAATGCTATATTTGGTTGAAGTTGCCAAAAATTAATTCCAACATCACATTTGAAAACACATTCCGATGCATGTTTGGCGTATGTGAGTTTTTGATTTTTGAATTTGTACTTTGGGTCGTCCCCCTGGATATTTCCCCAAATGTCCAGTCGGTTGATTGGAACAGTACATTTTTTTTTTGCAATTGCCAATCGCCACTTGTTATTGGGAAAAAAACAATATATTTGTTTTTGATATTTTTTAAATATAGAAATTATTTTTTTTAGATGAAAATGACAAATTATTTTTTTGAGTTTTAGTTGTGTGTTTGGTTATGAGTTATAAGTTTTTGAATTAAGTTTTCAAAATTCTTTTCAAAACTCATAACCAAATAACTTTTCTCATTTCATATATCATATCAAAAACTCAAAATTCAATTTCAAACTCATAACCACCCAAATTTTTTCTTTTTCAAATCATAATTCTAAAATTAAAAAATTCAAAAATTAAAAATAAAACTCTATACTCAAATTATAATTTTAAAACGCTACCAACCACTACCTAGGTTTTTCTTGCAAGGCACTCCAAGTCCAGAGACTCTCATTATACATTAACCCAACGCAACACAAATTCAGTCTAGGATTCTTCTCTCTAATCCGTACTGTGTATTAATTTGTAACAGAGAACATGGAAACAAAGGATGGTGAAGAAGATCGGATCAGCAAGTTATCAAACACTCTTCTCATTCACGTTCTCTCTTTCCTCGAAACCAGGTATTCCGTAAGAACATCCATTCTATCAACAAGATGGAAAAATCTGTGGGCTTGTGTTCCCAATCTCACCTTCCACTTACACTCACCACCTTCCTATGGATTTTCCAACTTCATCGACCGAGTACTCCTCCTCCATGACTTGCCTCAAATTCACACCTTCACTTTCACTTGTAATTCTATCTTCGATATCAAACCCAACCGTCTCAACTCTTGGATCTCTTTTGCGATTAAACGTCATGTTCATCATCTTTATATCGATTTCATCCATGGCTTGTTTTTTCGGCCTCTTAATTTTCCTCTTAGCCTCTTCACTTGCGAATCGCTTGTTGATTTGACGCTAGGGTTTAACACTTGTATTGTTTCTAATCTCCCGGACTCCATTTGCTTTCCCAATCTCAAATCGCTTAAAATTTGGGTTGCCGATCCTGATGATAGCTTGACGGAGAACCTCTTTCGTAGCTGCCCAGTGCTTGAAGTTCTATTTTTACGAGCACGCTTGGAATTGGATAAGGACGAGGACGAGGACGATGAAGTGATTTTTAATATATGCACACAATCTCTCAGAGTTTTGAGATTGTATTTGGAGGCTGATTCGTATGATGAGCGTTGTTGCTTTGGGCATGAGGTTGTGATTGATGCCCCGGCTCTCGATGATCTTCTTCTTGATGATAATTTTATGGCTTGCTATTCAATAAACAATGTATCTTCTTCATTGGCAATAGTCCATGTTGATATTGGGTTGTTCTTTTGGCCGAGAATCGCTGAATGTGATTGCCATAATCGGGTTCTGGAGCTTCTTGGAGGAATCTCAAATGTTAGGTCCCTCTATTTGTCTTCCACCACTCTCCGCGTAAGTTCATTCTTTTTTCTTGATAAATTTTGCCGATTTATTTACAAAATTGTTGATTGCAGTGACATCTTTAAAAATATAATTATGTTGATGAACTTTTTAGTTTAAATTAACAAAATCGAAACTTGGAATCATTCTTTTACATAATTTTTCATAAAATTTACTAGTATATATAATAATTTCCATTGGTTGTGAAGGTTCTTGGCTATGCTGAAGATAATGATCAACTTACTCTTGGTAATTTGACTCGTTTGGAATTGGGTGTTGTTTATTTGTCAAAGCTATTGCTGGACTTACTTGCAAAGATGCCTAATCTAGAATCTTTAAAGCTAATAATGGTGAGATTAAATGTAATTTTCAGTGCAATGTAAAATTATTTAGTTCAATTCTTATTTTTGAAATTGTTTTTTCAATCTTTGTCTAGGATCATCAAGCAGTTTATCGCAACTGTTATCATGAGGAAGAAGAAGAGTTCTATGAGATTCAGCGGCCTCCATGTTTGCTATCACACTTGAAAGTAATTGAAGTAGATGACTTTGAAGGATTGGAAAGTGATTTGTTATTGGTTGAATATTTTCTTAAGAATGCAAAGGTATTGAATAAGATGGTCATTAAGAATCAAAATTTAGTTTCTGTCAAGGTGGAAGTGTTAAAGAGACTACTAATGTTCCCTCGGGGTTCTAAGACATGTGAAATTGAAGCCAGAGATTTAATTGCCAATCTTCAAGAAATTCAAAAATTCACACAACATAATGTGTTAGATGTCACAACTAAGTACAAGCATGAAGCTAACAAGAAGAGCCGTTTCGAGGAATTTGAGGTCGATGATTTTGTTTGGGCTGTCCTCACCAAAGATAAGTTCTCAACAAGCAAGTACAACAAGTTGGCTGCTCGAAAAATTGGACCATTACAGGTTGTGGAGAGAATCCACCAAAATGCCTATAGGTTGAAGCTTCCTAGTCACATCCGCACTTCCAATGTGTTTGATGTCGAACATCTCATTCCATACTACGAAGACAGTTTTGATGAAGAGCATACAAATTCAAGGGTATATTCTCTCAGCCGTGGGGATAATGATGCAGTATGTATAGCAGAGAAGTACATGACGACACGAGACCATCGAAAAGCCCATTAAGGCGCAATGGGCCTGTCTGTTGAGTTTGTTCTGGCTCTAAGTTGAAGAAAAAATAAAAGATATATTTTCCAAAAAGCTCTCAACAAGATCTACAAAATCGATGACAAATGCCACCGACCTAGTGAAATCAATGTTGGATTAGGAGGAAGAAGTGGACTTAAGGGGGATGCATTTGTGCCTCACCGTTTAATGTCACACCTAAAAGTAATTGAAGTAGATGGCTTCGAAGGAGTGGAACATGAAGTGCAATTGATTAAATATTTTCAATAAGATGGAAATTTGGCATCGGAATTGAACTTCCACCGAGGTGAAAATATTAAAGAGACTACTAATGTTCCCCAGTGGTTCTGAGACATGTTAAATTGAGTATTTGGTAACCTGGAATTCCTTGGAATTGTTCCATGAAATTCCCTATCCATTAATTTAAAATTAAATTTTATAATGTGAAAGCAGTTGTGTTGAAGGATTGGATCTTCTAATTTAGATCACAATTATTTTAAATGAGTAATTAAAGTGGCTGGACATGGATAATAGAAAACTATGATATCTGCCACACCTCAAGAATGAATGATATAGAAGTGAAATTTGCTTGTGAATGCTCTCCCATTCTATTGCCAGGTTTTCTGTCATTTTTGTGCTGCAATTGTGCTTGTGTTGTAGGTTGGGTTTTCTATTTATTACCTTTTCCTTTTACATTTTTCTACTGCAACTTCACATACCCTGGCTGTATGGGGTTCCTTATTAGTGATTGTTTAGGTAGGCTTAGTTGTTGTAGTTACAATTTGACAATTTTTTTATTTTTATTTTTTATTTTTGTGGGATTCTGAGACATGTGCATTTGAATAACCTGATTAATGCAGTTTGAATAACTCAAATTGCTCACTTTTTTCACCCATAACATTGGGTTATGCATATTTTGGTCTGTGTTGTACTCAACAATGTTCTACTCCATTCAGCCAGTGGATTAGATATTCTAATGATGTGTTCTATTTCCACAAGTATTGTTGCGAGAACTATGGAATTCCTTGGAACTGTTGCATGAAATTCTCTATGCGTTAATTTAAAATGAACTTTTATAATGTGAAAGCAATTGTGCTGAAGGATTGAATCTTCTTTGTATAGACCACAATTTTAAATACATAATGGAAGCTCCCATAAAATCTAAAAAAGAGTAAGATACGGTACACTTGGATATGCTTATAAAAATTTATTTATTTTTACTTCGAAGTGATGCAAAAATTAGTTAAATGGTTTAATTGGTTAAGATTCAACTTATAATTTACATTTAATTTAAAAAATAAGGTATAAATAAAAATAAATAAAATGGCATTATATAAAATAACTTATAAACCAAGTCTAAATTTTAAAAAATCATGTTCCGCATAAAAAAGTGTAACGAAATTAACTTCACATTTGTATAAATAAAAAAGTACTATTCGGGTTGAGATATGATTTGAGTAAATATTAGGTACGTTTAGGGTACAAAAAAATTAAGAGGAAAAAAATTTGTATGAGTTTTGTGGTATATATATATTTGTTAAATTACTCATGTTTCATAAGTAATGAAAGAAATATATATATATGTGTGCGTGTTATATATTTACCTAGGTTTAAAAATAAATTTGATCAGGCTTCATATCTTCAAATCATAACTTTAAAAAGAAAAAAAAAGAAAGAGACCTCACGTTTTTGTTCTTTTATATTTGTATTTGATCAAATAAATAAAAGAGACATGTTAGAATGATATAACAAAAAACTATAAATCAAACTATTAGAAGATCATATACAACGAAAATGAGTTTCTAATTGAGTGATAATATTCACAATGTTTTTTAAAACTAATTATACTTTATGTTTTATTATATAGTTTTTTTTCCAAATAGAGTGTAAGAGATTAAAAGTTAAGCTCATGCTATGGTAAAGGTATAACCAAAGACCTTTTGTTATATGAAAAATATTACATCATCAAATAAATTATTAGTTCACAATAGTTAGAAATTGAACAAACTAATTACCAAGCCTAAGCTTAACAACTAATATTAGATTCATACAACCTCAATAATGAAGAAGAAATAAATCACTACAAAGGATATTAAACTTTTCTCTATAGGAGTTGGACCCAAGATATGAAACCCGAGATCTCACGCTACAAAGAATATTACATAATCACTAGGCCCAAATGCCTCGTTACTAACAAGTATTACTTAGTCCATACATATATTATAACTTTCAATTACCTATTTAAGATTATGTTAATGTTGTGCTTAGATGTTGGATTTTAGGCATAAATGGAATTGTGGAAGAAATATATTTATTTGTTTTTTTCCCCCCTCTCCACTAATTCTTCTCTAGTTCCAAAATTCAAACACAATTAATAAATTTTTCTTTTAGACTCTCCAATATTGATTAAGTTGCCATAAATTTATAATAAATAGTGAAATGAAACAAAATTTGATTTTCTATTTTCTATTTTTCTATGGTGAATCTAGGCAGTCAAATATTTTTTTTTTTGATCGGCAAAATAAAGTTTTATTGATGAGAAAAGAAAAATACATGCAAAAATACATCAACAAAACAAGAAGTGCACTAAGCATCAAAGCTAGCCTCTACAATCCCAACTAGGTTGGCACTACAAAGGCAGCAAAATCATTTGCTAGCACTTGACCCAAGATTGGTGAGAAACCAATCAAAGCAACCAACAAAAGAGAGAACAAAAAATAGAACAAGAGCACCAACATAGCAGACCAGCACCAGCACCAGCACCAGATCAACAATTCAATTTCCTTGTGTCCCATTGACTGTCCCAATGTGTACAAGAATAGGCATCAAAACCAGCACCAGATTAGCATAATCGCAGTTCAAAAAAACCCCTCTACTGGGGCATTAGATCAGTATAATAGCAGTTCAACTGGCATTAACCATCAGCAACCATCAATCAACATACATTGCTACTGCACTGCAAATCAGCAACCATCAATTCCACAACCTATCAGACCTCTGATCCTGGACACCAAAGAAGCCCCTGTTGCATTGAGATGTTGGACACCAAAGAGACCCCTGTTGCATTGAGATTCCAACCAGAGCATCCCATAGAACTGCAGCAATCTACAGCAGCAACCTATCACCCCATAGCAGCAATCTACACCTAAAAACAACTCTGGAGCAATAGCATCTCTGAAGCAATACTCTGAAACAGTAGCAGTAGTCTACAGCATGACATAACACCTTGACACGCTCAATACAATGCATCACCACACTACAAGAAAAAATACTTTCCGTGACCAACATTTTGGTCGCGAAAAGTTTCATATTTGGTCGCTAAAACCTTTTCCCGACCAAAATATGTTGGTCGCGAGTTGGTCGCTAAAGCCTCGTCACAGATAGTTTTATGCGACCAAAAAAGCCTTTGGTCGCTAAAAGTGACCATTCGCGATCAACTTTTTTGGTCGCGGAAAGTCCAATTCATATTAGTAAACTTTTAGCGACCAAAGATAAGTTGGTCGCCAAAAGTCAGCGCCTTGACCAAAAAAAAAAAAATTCTTTTATGCTCCCTGGGACTTGAACTCCTGACCAAGGAGTCACCATGCACCCAATCCACTCTGCCAATAACATACTTTTTGTTCATATTTGACAAAAAAAATATATAACCCATAAAAATTAGGTTATATATTATTTTATAAAACTTTTAATGCCTAAATAGAAAAATAGCATGTAATTACTATAGTATCATTTTTTTTTAAATTTATCCCGCCATAACTTTCCACGACCAACTTTTTTTTTTGGTCGCCAAAGGGTAATCTTCCGCGACAAAAAATGCCTCTGGTCGCCAATAGTATACTTTCCGCGACCAACTGTTTTTTTGGTCGCCAAAAGGTGATCTTCCGCGACCAAAAAAGCCTTTGGTCGCCAATAGCATACTTTCCGTGACCAACTGTTTTTTTGGTCGCCAAAAGGTGATCTTCCGCGACCAAAAAAGCCTTTGGTCGCCAATAGCATACTTTCCGCGACCAACTTTTTTTTTTGGCGCCAAAAGGTGATTTTCCGCTACCAAAAAATTGTGGTCGCCAAAAGTTAAATTTTAGTCGCAGAAAGTGGACTATTTGCGACCAAAAAAAATAGGTGGTCACCAAAAGTGTTTTTTCTTGTAGTGCCAGCTGTCAGATCTTTCTGGCCAAAACATCAGTACACTTAAGTTCTATCTGCCCAAAACATCATCTCATCCCAAGTCTCACCTAGCCATCAACCTTGTAAACAAAACCTAACCTTAGGCACAATCCTTTACCACAAAACAACAACATCATCATCATATTTAAGCAAGCATCAGTTGCATGCCACCAGACTTGATCCCACACAATCAACCTCCATGACTGATATAAAACTTCATCAACAGAGCAGGCCTCAGTTCCAAGGATCTGCACAAGACATTCACCACTACAGCATCCCCAAAAAGCAGGTAGAATCTCAGACAACCATACACCACTACAGCATCCCCAAAACCATGTACCACACAGCATCAATATCAGACAATCAGTAACCATACCAAACAGCCTCTCACCTGGAACAAATTCTGACTTGATGGATATTAAAGATAATATCATTCATTGAGAATACCAATCCTGAGCATGATGCTTTGATCCATAGTGCAATTCTCACTTTGACCAAATCACAGAGCTCCTCCAAGCTAGGTTGGGCATTGTTAAAAATACAATCATTTCTTAATTTCCATATCGACCAGAGCACCGCAAACGGAATGATTCTCCAAATCTTCTTTTCTAATTTCTTCAACTTTGTTCCTGACCACCAATGTAGTAGCTCATCCACAGATTTTGATGTCACCCATTGCATACCCCACCAATTCATAATTTTGGACCAAACTAACCAAACAAAATGGCAATGCAAGAGTACATGATTGTCTGTTTCCTCTTCCTTATTGCAGAATACACAACGAAAATTAGAATGATTATCCAAAATCTCCTTCATTTGAAGATAATTAGATGTCTTAATCCTTCTCTTCCAAGCAAGCCAGCCAAAGAATTGAACTTTTGGGGGGACCACATTCTTCCAAATACACTCTAACAACCTGTAAGTAGGCCCAAATGAGGATTCACACCAATGGTATGCTGATGAGATAGTGAACACTCCTGAGGAATTCGCATTCCATCTATCTAGCTCCTCCATTTCCCACTCAAACAAACTCTTTCTAAACAATGAGTTATATATATATATATATATATATATATATATTTTTGATCGGCAAAATAAAGTTTTATTGATGAGAAAAGCTAAAATACATGCAAAAATACTTCAACAAAACAGGAAGTGCACTAAGCATCAAAGGTAGCCTCTACAATCCCAACTAGGTTGGCACTGCAAAGGAAGTAAAATCATTTGCTAGCACTTGACCCAAGATTGTTGGGAAACCAATCAAAGCAACCAACAAAAGAGAGAACAAAAAACAGAATAAGAGCACCAACATAGCAGACCAGCACTAGCAACAGCACCAGCAACAGCACCAGATTGTAGACACTCCATTTTTGACTGTCCTCAAGACTTGGACGTCATC